TTAACTGTCAGCATTTACAGTTTCCAAGACAGGACACACATTTAGGGCTGCTTTTGTAGACCTGTTGTTAAACAGTATCTGCAGGACCTTAGGTGGCACATGTTTTCTTACTGAATAACCAGGGCAACAATGATGGCTGTCGTAAGGTGATGTGATTTTTCACTGCCAATTTTGTCATTGACCTGTAGCACTAATTTCTTGAAGTGCATTTCATTCTATAAGATTTTATTTACTGTACATTTTGTAGATTTACTGTTTTAAGAGGAGCACATTGAGAATGTTATACTGCCTGACAAATACAGTCACCTGAATCATAATCTAATAAATTCATTGTTAAAACATAATTGACTTTTGTGTTCTTGTCATGTTTGCTATTTAAATACCTACAAGGTTGCAATAGTTAAACATTTAAAGATGGGTTTTATTTAAAACAAACATTCTGAGCAGTCACTTCAGACACACTGAGGATTTTACACCAAACTAATAAGTGAATTCACATACTATACAGAATCTCTCCAGTGCTCTTGAACATATGATTGATGTAAGCAGGGGTTGCTCTGTGTTTCAGGTCTCTTAAACATCAGATACTCTCACTCAGGCTTCACACCTGATGTTTAGCAGCTGTGCTTCCTGCATGAACTTCCTGCACAGGTCGCTTGGTGCGAGACTGGCTGGGAACATTCAGTTGTATGCCAGTTCCCACATCTCTCTACTGTTCACTTTGAAACAAAATGTCCCCCAAAATAATGAAATAAAATACACACTGATTTAGAAGTTCTACATTCTCATTTCAGTACAGCAGTACCATTAAGAATTTGTCGGTGAGTGTTCTTGAGTTCAGTGGTTATGTGAGTTGAATATTCACAGTGTTAGTTTCAAGTTGGTTAAAGCAATAGCTAATCTATCCTGTCAGTATCCCTGCAACATAAGCTTGGGGTATCTGACCTTATTTTTATTAACCTACTCCTTAAAGTACTTGACTTTTTTAAGGGGGAAACAATTGCTGAAAAAACCGTAACGCTTGCTTTCATACTAAAATAATGATAGTATTGACTTTTGTCAGGTCTTATTAAAAAACACAGCTGTTTTCAGCGATTAAATAAGCTTTTGACGGTCTTGAAGTTGATATTCACTTCAGGTCAGGATCCTGATTCGTGAAGAATAACAAGCCCTAGAATGAAGGACCTCAGCCTTTCCATTTATTCTATATCCACTATATTTTCCTACTCCAGTCATGTTTGTCGATGGTCAGAGCATAAATTAAACATCCTTCCTGATCCTGCTTGAACCATATGATGGTCTACAGCTAGGCTACGTGGATATTTAGCTGACAGAGGAGAACTTATCCTGACCAGTGTCAGGTTTTGCTTCCAAACATGACTGATTTTTCTTAAGTTTACCAAATAAGATGAAGATTGTCATGAAGTTCTTGAAATTAAGATATAAATGAGTATTTCTTGTTTTCTTTTTGTTTTTGTGCCTTTACTGCTACAATTGTAGACAATTTACAATTGTTTCAGGTTGTAACAGTGCTGTATGAAGGTGACACATCTGCTGTAGAAACCAAGCTGCTCTGTATTTACAGCTCCAGCTCAGGCCTCTGAGTAACTGTGGTGGCCACAAAGCAAACAGTTTTAGCAGGTACTACACAATTCTCACTAACCATACAAACCACTGTAGAAGACCAGTGCAGACAATTCTCGATACAGGTTGGACTTTATGGAACCAGCTCAAACTGTAGCTTGAACACATAACTATAGACCTGATGTTTGATGACCTCAGGACTGAGGCATGAGAACTAGATTAATAACATTGTGACCAAACACGATAGCTTCTTTGAATTCCTCCAGACACGACTGCTACAATTGTAGACAATTTACAATTGTTTCAGGTTGTAACAGTGCTGTATGAAGGTGACACATCTGCTGTAGAAACCAAGCTGCTCTGTATTTACAGCTCCAGCTCAGGCCTCTGAGTAACTGTGGTGGCCACAAAGCAAACAGTTTTAGCAGGTACTACACAATTCTCACTAACCATACAAACCACTGTAGAAGACCAGTGCAGACAATTCTCGATACAGGTTGGACTTTATGGAACCAGCTCAAACTGTAGCTTGAACACATAACTATAGACCTGATGTTTGATGACCTCAGGACTGAGGCATGAGAACTAGATTAATAACATTGTGACCAAACACGATAGCTTCTTTGAATTCCTCCAGACACGACTGCTACAATTGTAGACAATTTACAATTGTTTCAGGTTGTAACAGTGCTGTATGAAGGTGACACATCTGCTGTAGAAACCAAGCTGCTCTGTATTTACAGCTCCAGCTCAGGCCTCTGAGTAACTGTGGTGGCCACAAAGCAAACAGTTTTAGCAGGTACTACACAATTCTCACTAACCATACAAACCACTGTAGAAGACCAGTGCAGACAATTCTCGATACAGGTTGGACTTTATGGAACCAGCTCAAACTGTAGCTTGAACACATAACTATAGACCTGATGTTTGATGACCTCAGGACTGAGGCATGAGAACTAGATTAATAACATTGTGACCAAACACGATAGCTTCTTTGAATTCCTCCAGACACGACTGCTACAATTGTAGACAATTTACAATTGTTTCAGGTTGTAACAGTGCTGTATGAAGGTGACACATCTGCTGTAGAAACCAAGCTGCTCTGTATTTACAGCTCCAGCTCAGGCCTCTGAGTAACTGTGGTGGCCACAAAGCAAACAGTTTTAGCAGGTACTACACAATTCTCACTAACCATACAAACCACTGTAGAAGACCAGTGCAGACAATTCTCGATACAGGTTGGACTTTATGGAACCAGCTCAAACTGTAGCTTGAACACATAACTATAGACCTGATGTTTGATGACCTCAGGACTGAGGCATGAGAACTAGATTAATAACATTGTGACCAAACACGATAGCTTCTTTGAATTCCTCCAGACACGACTGCTACAATTGTAGACAATTTACAATTGTTTCAGGTTGTAACAGTGCTGTATGAAGGTGACACATCTGCTGTAGAAACCAAGCTGCTCTGTATTTACAGCTCCAGCTCAGGCCTCTGAGTAACTGTGGTGGCCACAAAGCAAACAGTTTTAGCAGGTACTACACAATTCTCACTAACCATACAAACCACTGTAGAAGACCAGTGCAGACAATTCTCGATACAGGTTGGACTTTATGGAACCAGCTCAAACTGTAGCTTGAACACATAACTATAGACCTGATGTTTGATGACCTCAGGACTGAGGCATGAGAACTAGATTAATAACATTGTGACCAAACACGATAGCTTCTTTGAATTCCTCCAGACACGACTGCTACAATTGTAGACAATTTACAATTGTTTCAGGTTGTAACAGTGCTGTATGAAGGTGACACATCTGCTGTAGAAACCAAGCTGCTCTGTATTTACAGCTCCAGCTCAGGCCTCTGAGTAACTGTGGTGGCCACAAAGCAAACAGTTTTAGCAGGTACTACACAATTCTCACTAACCATACAAACCACTGTAGAAGACCAGTGCAGACAATTCTCGATACAGGTTGGACTTTATGGAACCAGCTCAAACTGTAGCTTGAACACATAACTATAGACCTGATGTTTGATGACCTCAGGACTGAGGCATGAGAACTAGATTAATAACATTGTGACCAAACACGATAGCTTCTTTGAATTCCTCCAGACACGACTGCTACAATTGTAGACAATTTACAATTGTTTCAGGTTGTAACAGTGCTGTATGAAGGTGACACATCTGCTGTAGAAACCAAGCTGCTCTGTATTTACAGCTCCAGCTCAGGCCTCTGAGTAACTGTGGTGGCCACAAAGCAAACAGTTTTAGCAGGTACTACACAATTCTCACTAACCATACAAACCACTGTAGAAGACCAGTGCAGACAATTCTCGATACAGGTTGGACTTTATGGAACCAGCTCAAACTGTAGCTTGAACACATAACTATAGACCTGATGTTTGATGACCTCAGGACTGAGGCATGAGAACTAGATTAATAACATTGTGACCAAACACGATAGCTTCTTTGAATTCCTCCAGACACGACTGCTACAATTGTAGACAATTTACAATTGTTTCAGGTTGTAACAGTGCTGTATGAAGGTGACACATCTGCTGTAGAAACCAAGCTGCTCTGTATTTACAGCTCCAGCTCAGGCCTCTGAGTAACTGTGGTGGCCACAAAGCAAACAGTTTTAGCAGGTACTACACAATTCTCACTAACCATACAAACCACTGTAGAAGACCAGTGCAGACAATTCTCGATACAGGTTGGACTTTATGGAACCAGCTCAAACTGTAGCTTGAACACATAACTATAGACCTGATGTTTGATGACCTCAGGACTGAGGCATGAGAACTAGATTAATAACATTGTGACCAAACACGATAGCTTCTTTGAATTCCTCCAGACACGACTGCTACAATTGTAGACAATTTACAATTGTTTCAGGTTGTAACAGTGCTGTATGAAGGTGACACATCTGCTGTAGAAACCAAGCTGCTCTGTATTTACAGCTCCAGCTCAGGCCTCTGAGTAACTGTGGTGGCCACAAAGCAAACAGTTTTAGCAGGTACTACACAATTCTCACTAACCATACAAACCACTGTAGAAGACCAGTGCAGACAATTCTCGATACAGGTTGGACTTTATGGAACCAGCTCAAACTGTAGCTTGAACACATAACTATAGACCTGATGTTTGATGACCTCAGGACTGAGGCATGAGAACTAGATTAATAACATTGTGACCAAACACGATAGCTTCTTTGAATTCCTCCAGACACGACTGCTACAATTGTAGACAATTTTCTATTGTTTCAGGTTGTAACAGTGCTGTATGAAGGTGACACATCTGCTGTAGAAACCAAGCTGCTCTGTATTTACAGCTCCAGCTCAGGCCTCTGAGTAACTGTGGTGGCCACAAAGCAAACAGTTTTAGCAGGTACTACACAATTCTCACTAACCATACAAACCACTGTAGAAGACCAGTGCAGACAATTCTCGATACAGGTTGGACTTTATGGAACCAGCTCAAACTGTAGGTTGAACACATAACTATAGACCTGATGTTTGATGACCTCAGGACTGAGGCATGAGAACTAGATTAATAACATTGTGACCAAACACGATAGCTTCTTTGAATTCCTCCAGACACGACAGCTAAAACCCACTGATGTTTTCCAAGTCTGAATGTTTTCTGTTTGTATTCAAGCGCTCGGTTTTACTTTTAGTGCATCTTAATATGAAAGCAGAAAATCCTTTTAGAAGCACTTCCTCTAATTTCCTGACTATTATTATTATACCATTTAAGTTCTATCTTTATATCCAGTCAGTGCATGAATTTGTGTTTGAACACCCCTGATATTCTCTTATTTAAAGATGCTGTTCAAGGTCAGCTGCATCTGGATTATCTGTATGTGAATCTCCCAGTGCTTTGGTGAGTAATGTTTAATTTTATACCTTTGAACTCAAGAAGCGACTGAGTGGATGTGATTTAGATGAAATGTTCAACTTGAGCTAAAGGTTTCAGAAAATGTGTTAGCCAGAAGTGACAGTGTCTCCGCCAGCATGATTTAATCAGGCTTTAAAAACACAATGCATTAAGATTTATTTAAATGTATTTATTTTTGTAGACCCAAGATGATGTCTACACAAGCCTTCAGCAGCCAGTAAGTGATCTCTACCAAACTATATCCTCAATTCATAGTCCAAAAAGCACCAAGACAGTTTCAGCAAGCAATGTACAGTAGTGACTGTCCATCTGGATAATCAGGAAGGAAATAAATGAAAGGGACACCAGGCTTTAAAACCAAAGATTCAAGACTGACTTACTGACACAGTGGACTAGTGACTGTAGTTTGGTAAAGTCCTTAAACCCTTGGAGAAATGCCATGATTTGTAAAATGTATGTGATTAATTATTTGAATAAAAAATAAAGCCAATAGTATTGTATAATTGCTAACTGAAGAGTAAATATTCCATAAAATATTAATACTTTCATTGTGCACACAAACAAAGTGATTTTTGCATTCTTGTTCAAAAACTTAAGATAATCACAGGAACTCAGTTACAGTCTGTAGAGTTCAGCTTGTTTAGCATTAGCATTTAGCATTTAGCATTTCTTATCACTCGTGATAGTGGCTTCAAGCAATATGTGTTTTTGTTGTTTACAGTTGTGGCAGATCAAAACTGTGCTGTATGAAGATGACACAGTGGTGTCCTCAAGCACGAGGTGAGGTACATGCAGTAAACTGTAATGATCTGCTGAGGCCACGCTGTGCTCTATTTACAGCACAAGCTCAGGTCACCGTGTGAGGACCATGCACTTGCACACTGTTTTACCTTTAGCATGTCTTAATGTGAAAGCAGAAGCACTCCTAAAGTATGCTTATTATAAGTGGTTAATTATTACAATTTAAAAAATAAATTCAGTCACTGGAACAGTATAACTGCTGCCTGAATAATAAATATCCCAAAAAATTGTAATACTTGCATTTTGCACACACAAAACATTTTAATGCAACATTTGACAGTCACATGAACTTGGCTACAGTCTGTAGATGTCTGTGTAATGTTTGACAAGTACTGGACACACTTAAATTCTTCCCGTCAGGTCTTACATGCTTTTGTCATTTACAATTGTCTCAGGTTGTAACAGTGCTGTATGAAGGTGACACATCTGCTGTAGAAACCAAGCTGCTCTGTATTTACAGCTCCAGCTCAGGCCTCTGAGTAACTGTGGTGGCCACAAAGCAAACAGTTTTAGCAGGTACTACACAATTCTCACTAACCATACAAACCACTGTAGAAGACCAGTGCAGACAATTCTCGATACAGGTTGGACTTTATGGAACCAGCTCAAACTGTAGCTTGAACACATAACTATAGACCTGATGTTTGATGACCTCAGGACTGAGGCATGAGAACTAGATTAATAACATTGTGACCAAACACGATAGCTTCTTTGAATTCCTCCAGACACGACAGCTAAAACCCACTGATGTTTTCCAAGTCTGAATGTTTTCTGTTTGTATTCAAGCGCTCGGTTTTACCTTTAGTGCATCTTAATATGAAAGCAGAAGCGCTCTTATAGAAGCACTTCCTCTTCAGGAGAGTTCACACCAGCTTGTACCTCTGTGAGAGCAGAGGTTGAAGTTTAGGTGCCCAAATAAATTAAACATCCTTCCTGATCCTGCTTGAACCATATGATGGTCTACAGCTAGGCTACGTGGATATTTAGCTGACAGAGGAGAACTTATCCTGACCAGTGTCAGGTTTTGCTTCCAAACATGACTGATTTTTCTTAAGTTCACCAAATAAGATGAAGATTGTCATGAAGTTCTTGAAATTAAGATATAAATGAGTATTTCTTGTTTTCTTTTTGTTTTTGTGCCTTTGCTCATTGTTTCTGTGTTAAGATAAAAAAAAAGTGTTCCCGTCTTGCTCTTCCGTTTTAGAAGAATCTGAAATCAAGTGGTTGAAGACTGGTACAAAGGGGTGTGTCCACCCACTTCCCTATATTAAGTACAGTATACTGTGCACTGCCAGCAGCTGCTGCTGCGCTGTTACTTGGATGTTTTGACAATGGGTGGATGGAAACTGGTCGTTCTGCTTCTGCCACTAACATTTTGCATCAATAGGGATGGTACTGTAAAGGGACTTTGTATAGATGACATTTTTTATTTTCACATTCTTGTGCATTGAAAAATAAAACCACCGTTTACCAAATGGATAGATACATGGAGTGCTACCTCTGTGACTGTATTTGATATTGATTGTGATTTATTGATTGCAGCAACTCCTGTGACAACCACGGGGAGAGAGCCCTATGTCTCTGCAATATGCACCAACCGAACAATGAGTTTCATCGTACTGATAGTGTGTAAGATCCACACAGAGAGGAGCAGGGGAAAAGAGTGTGATCTGCGGTATCATCACGGACGGGGCTTTGTGCATGAATGTGGCTCCAGATTCAAACTCATGACAGAGAATCAGACTGTATTCCTCCACCTGACCAGTTTAACACCAGAGGATAGTGGGAACTACACCTGTGAGTGCTCATATGGTGGTGGAACAGACATTGTCCAGCTCAATATCACTGTGGAAGGTAAACACATTTTGTATTGTAAAATCTAGTTTCTTTCACCTCAGGTTGTTAAGTTAAGTTAAGTCATTTCTTTCTTTCTTTTAATGATTTTGAGATTGCAATCCATGCTTTTATAACCTCCAGACTTGACTATTATAATGCATTATACCTTGGTGTTAATCAGTTGTCTCTCACTCATCTCCAAATGGTGCAAAATGCTGCGGCTCATCTTTTAACAAGTATCAGGAAACTTTTACTGTTGCAGCTCCTAAATTGTGGAATAGTTTACCTCCCAATATTAGATTGTCTATGGACTTGATAACTTTTAAATCATTGGTTAAAACATATTTATTCACTTTGGCTTTTAATACATAGTATTGTCTGATGCTTCCTTCTTTTAACTATTGTGTAATTTGTGTGTTTATGTTACTCTGTTGTTTTCCTCCTGTATTGATCTTATTTTAGTTCTTACCTTGTCCTTGTGAAGTACTTTGGTCAACCAAACGTTGTTTTAAAGTGCTATATAAATACATTTTGATTTGATTTGACTCAATACTTTGAATTGAATGTGTTTATTTCCCATTTTACTAACAATGTACTGAGTTGCTAATGTTTGTTGAAGTAGAGCAAAGACACTGTCATTTGTCTGACCAGGATCATCTGTTTACAATATTTAGAGGGCCCCACCAGTACTACAGGGATGAGTAGTGTTCTCTGTGCTTTGATTGGTGTATCTACAGTCATCATTATAACTGGAGTTATTCTGGGCTTTATCCACAGAAGACTCAGTCATGGGTGAGAAACTATTATAATACTACGAAGATACAGTTTTTTAACATGTTATCATTTTTAGGAATCCTTCATAACATAATAGTATTTTGTGGTGGAAAGTAACTTACCTCTTCTTCTACTTGTAACAGACTATACTGTGGTATCACTATTTAACTACTACTTGGATACACTTAAAAAATATGGCCACATCCTTTGTGCTGAACCCAAATGAGCATGAGTTCATTTACATGTAGCATCTTCAGTAACAACAGTTGTTGTAGTCTTGTTTGACCAACTGTTACTATTTTGTTAGTCACATAATATTTCAGAATTTATTTTATTTTTTGTTACATGTTTAGCTGCAGTCATATATGTCAACAGCTATATATATACATATATCAACAGCTTGACATCTAGTTTCATATGAAGCTTTTGAGGATGAGACTGTCTTTCATTTACTGTCCTGCATATAATACACTAAGCAGTGTGGAGTGAATAATCATCAAGACTTGTAGCTAATTTTATTTGTCTGTTTACACTACAGAGGTCAACCAGAACCCCTGAGCAGTCATCCAGACCAGGTACTGTACAGACAAACATGATAGCCTTTATTTATGTGGCTCATTTAACTTGAATCAGTTTTAAAACACACATGTCCCTCTGCAGGAGACACAAAACATTGAGCCGTACAGCACCTTCATACGGAGAGAGAGGGGGCTTTATTCAACGGTCAAGTTTCACAACTCTAACATTAGTACTAATAATTCAAATATGTTTACTGGAGAGGAAACTAATTCAGGAGACTTTTGTAGAGCTTAACTCACACTATATCTACAGTATTTCTACACAATCTGTGTTTCAGTGTTTACTAATAAGACCAGTTGTCCACAAGGTGGCACTCCTGTGCTTTGTGAAATATGTATATGCAGCCAGGTATTTCATTTTATATCAGGGTGTTTAATTTTGAAGCTTGCAAACTTGACTTTCTCCCCTGTTTTTATTTAGTGAGTTTAATGACTTAAAAGAAGTAAGAGAATTATACTGTCTGATATATATATAATGATGACCAGAATCATCTGACTGATAAATAAACGGTTAAAACTGAGTTGATTCTTGCTCCGGGTTTCATTTAAAACAAACCTCTTTTATTATCTCTGCTTTGCCACCCCTGCTTTGTTTTGTTCATTATCCATCTTGTACCAATACAGGAATCATATTTTGACCACTTATTTGTGACATTTTCTGTGTGAAAAATGTTCATTTGAATTTACACATGAATATTATATAAATGCAGCAACGGTTTAGTTTTTTTTATTCACCATAGTGACTGTTGTGTAAACCTTCAGATAACAACCAAATAATATATGCAAACAAGCACTGACCATCATCTACTGTAGTTTGTAGGTTGTCAGATGATCACAGAGGAACCAAGGACAACAATGTCACCTGCTGGACATGGAACTGAATTACTTTGTCCCCCTGACCAGTTTAGTGGAAACTGTCTCAATGTCTCTACTGAGTTAATTGTGTTTTTATTTACTGCCTTGGTTCTTACGGCGGTTACTTTCTGTTGTATGAAAATATGTAGTACAAATTCCTATATAATCACAAGTACAAGGCAGGCTGCAGCAGAGATGTCCAACAACACTAAAGCTTAATACTGAACATTAGCATATCAACCGGTTACTGTTATATTATATTACAAAAATCCACGGGTTCATGTGCGTGTATAATGACATGATACACTTTAAAGAATGAGGTGGATGTTGTTTTGTTTACATTTTAAAAGCACCTTGACAGCCAATAACCCTTTGTTATTGTTTTTCTCAATCTGGTGTTCCCCTACTAACTTTGAAATTTTTCTCATTTACACAGAAAGTGTTACAGCAGGCCATGACCCTGACTCTTTGGTGAGTGGTATGAACTTCTCTTCTACACTCACATAACACATACATAAAACATGTGCAGCTGACTTACATTTTGTGCAGTTGTTTTTTGTTGTTGCTTACATTAATCAGGGTTTGGGACATGTCAGGCACCTTAGATAAGGTTCAAGAGAATTGAGTGCTTCAGCATGACAAAGGGAAGTTTAAGGGAAATTAGTCAGCTATCCTCACTGTAGTGGCAAATTCAGCATTTCTCTGCACGACAAGGTCTGTGTTTTTCAACCACACTCAGTCTGGCATGAAAAATATGAATATGTTTTCATTTGAGCCACATGAGCCCAGCACAAGCCAAAGTGGCAAGAGCGTAAAGAACACTAAGATAAGATGGAGTAAAGGCTGATTTCTAAACAATCGGACCAAAAATCTAAATAATATACCTGTACTTTGGTATAAGTACTTTTTAAAATGGGTTTCTACTGTAGTGCTGATGCTCACAAATCTGGAGTTATTAGGTGTTAGATTACTAAAGCAGAGGATTAATTCATCTTAGTTTAATGTAACTGAAGCATTTCCTCAGTCATAACTTGATTTATACATCAAAGATTCAAAGCAGCACTTCTGTGTTTGGACTTTCAGTTTCCAGTTTACGAGGATGATTGATTACTTTGCTGTGTGGTGGGTTGAGCAACGTGGTGCTGGATGTAGCAACACATCAGCTAGCTAATTACTGTATGTTGTTAGCCTGGTGATGTGAACAGAAGTGAATATATGTGTTGAGTGTGTGGGCACCTGTAAAGAGGGGGGTTGATCTGGGATGGTGGAACATTCAGTAGTGTGTTTTCTGTTGTGGGCCCCACTCAACACAAAAGCAGTTAGTAGTGGATGCCACCCTGATGATAAATGCCAGGCCTCCACCCTCAGCCCAACATCATATTGAAACTTTCTTTTCTTTGGTCAGACAGAACTTGTCAGGTATGAAAACCTTTATATCACAGGTGTTGCTAACCAGTGGAACAGGTAAGACTAGGTAAACCAGATAAAGAGTGATGGTGGCTGGAGAGCTGAGTGGACATCTGCATTCAGATGAAGTTGGTTATTAAGCCAGTGTAGTTTGAGCTGAGGATCTAAAGGCAGCCTGGGTCAGGGATTGCCTCAGTAGGTTTATAACAGCCCGGCTTGCCCTTCTGTCTGCACATTTAACTGTGTATTGATAGTAAGTGTCAAAGCTTTGTAAAAGGACAGATAATGGTGGCAAACTCATCTTAACCCTCAGTTCTGTCTCTCAGACAGACAGGCTCTCGGGAGACTTTACAAGAAAGAAAACAGAAACCTTTTGCGACTGACTGGCAGGCTATGACTGTCTATAACTGGTAAATAGAGATAACATTTGAAAATCAGAGAAGTGGCCCCTGTGACCAAAAACAGACACAGTTTCTGGTCTAACCTTGATTACAGGATCACAGCTTTAAAATGGGTACTTGGAAACATTAGTGTTGTGTACTGGTTTAAAATTACATGTGTCAGCTGGCAGGTAGCACAGGTACTTCCCAGATGTCCAGGAAGAACACGTAGCATACCTTGCACATTATCTGTCATATCTATATATTTAAAAATTATTTTCAAGTCTAATTATTATGGCACCATATATGTACTGCATGATGCAGTGCCTCTGTAAAACATCTATGTGCATAATGATCTGAACCTGTACCTTGGCGCTTTGCACTTCATTATGATTCAAACACTTATCTGGGCTTTATAGCATGAATAAATATGTTAATAAAAATGATAATAGTATATATGTTTGAGAAGACTTCACTGAACTGTTCATTATAGGAAGTGATTTTAAATAAATATTTGTATTATTAATGAATGTAATGATATTCCATTTAAGATATTTTGTTTACTGTGAGATGTTTGTAACATTGGAGGAGCAGTTAGGTTCTTTCCTATCTGACCCCACTTAGGAGGAATTACACAAAGTTCCCTTTTTGCTGTTTTGTAAACAAGACAAGCCTTTATTATATGAAATTATTTGACAGTTGATCTACTCCATGATAAGGGTTCAAAGTCTTCTTAGGACCAAATATATCACAACATACTGAGTTTAAATGTGGCCCGGGGTCTCAGTCTGTGACCCCACTCCCATTCTTCCCTATTTACTGTTAACACACTGTACCGTCACTGTATAAAAGATACTGTCAGCAAAGCCCGGTTTCCTGAAGACAAAGTCACAGGCTGTTTCTTATTTAGAATTCGGGATTATAAAAGTTCATTGTACTTGGGATGTGATTTGATAGGACAGGGCTGGATATTGCCAGGCACATTTTCGATAAGGTAAGCAGATTACTAAACCTGACGTTACAGCTAAAGGGCATAACATTGCACCACTTTTTTAATGAAGTCAAATGAGCTTTTCACAGAACTGAAGCAGCCTACAAGGTTGAAAAATAGTTAATTACCCCTAAATGAAGGCCAGGATGAAGCATCCTTGGACAAAAACATAAGAGTTTATAACTCTACAGTATCAAAATCCTACTTTTTATGTTGGAACTTTTCACTTATTGGCCCAAAACTCAACTTGGTGTGGACTGAGGACAGACAAAGTGGTTGATTAGCAGCGGAAATGGTCATGATAATAAGGGACATTCACTTTTTCATTTATTATACAGCTCCATTTTAATATAGGTGACTTGTGTTGAGAAGCCTTTGTGATTTGTTTCTACTATATATTTGCCTTGTTTCTACTAAATATTTTAGATGTACACACCGGTGTTTTTCATACACTAAGGGTGAACTTCCCCACTATGAGCTGGGACACTGTGCCAAATTATCTAAAGTAACACGTCACAAGATTACTAGAGCATGATTACACTTACCGCTTTGATGATGTGCATGTGTTAAAACCTCAAAACACAAGGGGCCAACACCAGAGAATATTACTTCTGCTGGGGTTTTTTTTGACCACTTGAGATTACTAAAGCTGATGCTCATGCAGTACAGTAAGTACACAATTTACTGGACTTGAGGGTAGTAATATTAACAAATAGGAAACAGTAGTGTGGGTCATTCAGTTTCAAATGCGAGTGAAGTACATTAGTGACTCATTTACAGTAAAGTGACTTGACCCTATAAAGTGTCCTGGTTTGTCTCACTAATTGATTTTGGGGAAAAAACAGACTTAAGGAAACTTCATCAGAGAACTGTTGAATTCTGCAATAGACCCAAGGCATTCAGCAGATTTTAATACTTACTGTAATCAGCTGTAGACAATTTTCTTCAGAGCAACCCTTCCTCTCCCCTCCCCCCCCCTTTCAGTTTCATTTAGCGTGGCTTTAAAAGCCTGCGTAGAAGCAAGTCTGAAAGTTCTCTGTACTGACAGCTGAGGAAGAAAATGCTGCACCTCCTGATATTTACTTGTTTGCTGGTCAAAGGTAAGGTTAGTTTTAAATTACAAATAAGATCCCTGCCTTGCTTTGTAGTCAGATGTTATAATGGTACCTATATTAAACCTATATTCAATTAATATGCTACATTATTATGTAGCATTATCTAGGTAGTATCCCTTTAAAGGGCTTGGAAGGACATTTGTATTTTATTGAAAACCCTCAAATGTGCTCTATACTTTACTCATAGATGTGATCACCATCCTGAAGTCAAAGCTTATCTATATTTATTTGTTAGTCATGCATTACATGAATTGAATAACACAATAACTGATCATTTTGGATATTTTACATCTGCCCCTACTGACACATCTGTTGTTAGCCACAACTTCGAAAATTAGAGTATATGGAAATACAACAGCTGACTACGGCGGGGATGCACATTACAGGTGTGCAGTGGATATTCCGGCAGGTGAGGATGTGTCTTAATGCTTTTATAAAGTTGTCTTGTTTGTTTACAGTTCATTTCTCAGTATTGTCGTTGAGCAGCTGCTGTCATTCAGCACATGTTAAACAAACAGCTCTGCCAACAGGTGTGCTCCAAGTCACATGGCAGAGGCTTTTCAAGGATCAGTCAATTGAAAACATGGCAACCTACAGCGAGCGGTTTGGCCAGCAGATAAATGGGCCTTTCCTTGGAAAAGTGATCTTCACAGAAGCGTCCCTCAACTCAACAGCCATCACTCTGAAGAACGTAACATGGGAAGATGAAAGCTGTTATATTTGCTCATTCAATGTGTATCCCGATGGGTCCAAAAGAAAGCAGGCTTGCCTCACAGTGCAAGGTAAGTTTCATTTGGCTGGATGTAAAAATAAAAGAATGAAAATTAATCAAATAAAGCTGATGTCTCAATTCAGATTCAAAAATGAAGACCAAGAGCCCAACAATTTGACATTCTTCTTAGAGCTCTGAAGTTTATTTTATAGTCTTTCTAGGGCTGTGATTCTTTCAAGTGTAACTAAAGCATTCAAGAAATCAAATAATATGAATTGCTGCAGATTTATAATGATGAGTTTCAATTCTCCATAAAGGAATATCTGATGTGAACACAATGGTTCAGCCCGTTTCCAGAGGTGGACCTGAGGGAGAAGACTTGGTGGTTGGATTTCGCTGCTCTGCCACAGGAAGACCAGCTCCAACCATTCAGTGGGACCTTTCATCTGGTGCCACCAACTCAGAAGAACAACAGACCACTACAGTAACAAACAGTGACCACACATTTACCAGCAGCCGCAACATCACGCTGCACATACCTCCAGGCTGGAGTGGATATGTGGACTGTTTGGTGAACAGTGGAGCAACGGGGCAGAGGCGAGAGAGGATCCCTTTTTCTTCAGGTCCAGGGCCTGACAGCAAGCCGAAAGACAGTAAGCTTATCAGTTTTGTTTTGTAGAACTGTATCTGCAGTGTGGGGTTAAACAGGCTGTGCCTCAGACTGAGCTCTGATTCATTGGTAGATACAGTAGCTACCCTGGGGAGTCCCAGTTATTTATTCTCATGCACCAGAAGATCAGTGTCCCAAGAATTCCCAGCAGCAAGCACCTTTGAAACTATGCTTGACAGGAAGTGCCTATTTAACAGTGGAATGATGGTACTGAGTTGGAAGCCGTGCTGGTTTACTGACAACCCATGTCTGGTACTTTAGAAAATGACCCACCTAACTCTTGTTCTGTTTTCCTGAGAGATCAGCTTTTGTTGACTATTCCCAGCAGTGAGCGCCTTTGTTAATTAGGCTCACTGATTGGAAGTTGTGTCATCAGAATAAAAACCAGTTTGTAATGGGTACATGTGAATTTGGTGTGCACACCAGTGCTGACTACTTCCAGTGTTTGATTAACAGCTTAAATAAATCAAACCTACCCACTAGTAATGTCATCATTTTCTAAATCCCAGAGACAAGGTTATTATGAGCTGCCTGTTGTTTGAGTCACAGAGCAGTAACACATCAGTGTCCTGTTGAACCAGGAACTCAAGAAAATCCTTACTGTTGAACCAGGAACTCAAGAAAATCCCTAACAACTAGTTCATGTAATGGGCATTACCTGAAGAACCAGGAACCAGTGTTGTCTAGTTTGGGAAATGCAGTCAGTGTAGGATGTATGACTAAATGCAAATTCTAGACGCATTAGTTGTTTCTGAATCAGCTGGCAGGTACTTGTGAAGTGACAATAGTTTTAGTTTCACTTATGCTTAGGTTTCATATAAAGAAAACCCCATAGCCTTGTGGTGACGAACATTGGCTCTCTAGGGAGGTGACATAACAAATAGATGATCAGATAGGATCTGGGAAGTTTGGTTTCAACATTTGAAAGTAAAAATGCTACTGTGAAAATTTTCCTCCTTCCTCTATTAGGGGACTATCACTTACCTTATTCCTGTACTGAACCAGTCTAACCATGTTTTTTTTTTCCTAGATAAAGGGCTGTCACAGTCAGGGATTGCACTTCTAGTTACTGCTACAATGTGTGCTTTCTGCATCATTGGTGGTGCTGTAGTGAAGAGAAGGTGAGATATTTTACACCATATAAGGCAGTAAATGTCCAGCAGTGAAACTCTCCTCCTATAATGAATTCTAATATTCTCTCATCCTGGCAGGTTTAAGGGCGGAAGAAGTGAAAACGTTTAAGCATCAGTGAGGTTTGGCCTTTCAGCAACCATCTTAAACTCTGGACAAGCAAGCATTATAAATCTCTGCATCTAGTGCTTTAGAGATGTGACAGTGAATTAAGCTAAAAGACGCTACTGAATAGCCATTTTCCACATTAATTTTTAAACAGCTTGTGAAATTTACATTTCTTTTAAACAGCAAAACTCAGCACTTTAACTTTGTTTATGGAGCTTCAAGATAAATGCTTCAGGCTTAGAA